AAGTTCTTCAAGATTTTAAGACAGTGACAGTTATTTTGAGATTTGACGGACGAATAAATAGTAGACATTACCAATTGATATTAAAAATAGAATGAGTATATTTTATTTTTCCAATTTAATCATAGATTTTTAAATTTAAAATATCTCAGGGTGTAACAGAGATTACATAGTAATTAACAAAATATTGCTAAAGTGCTTCATTGTTTATTTCATCTGATATCATAATTTATGTATTTGGCAATAGTTTACATGTACGGTTCTTGTGTATCATATACGAATAATATCATAATCCTTATTATCTCTGTATTTATGCAGATATCAAAATTACTTTTAATAATAAATGTTTCAAATGCCATATATTGACCATGATGCTACGTTCTTAGATTTTGAGTTACCAAACATTGCTTTTGAGATTTTGTCCCGTCACAGGGAGTTCAAGCACTGGTGCGCTCGTTAAAGGGTTAATTGAAGAGCATTCCAGGCGACTACGATTGGCGATTTGAAGTACGATCGAACAGTAGGGCTTTGGGAGTAAGGATGCTGCTTTATTGTTGAAACCTTAACTCCATCGAAAGGCACTGAGAGTAAAAACTAATAGCTGACACGGACAGGTCCGGCCTTCGGACCCTTTAGGCTGAGTGGTTTTACTCACTATTACCAACGGAAATATATATTTAAAACACTTTGCCTTTTACTCAAACAAAGGCCCTGTCGCAAGGCTAAGTTCGAAGGCCGAGTGGGGATCCGTGTATGACGAAATAAATGTTAAACACCCATAGTCAGTTCGGCATAAATTTTCTTCGAGACAATAAACATAAATGAACTTTCTAGTTAAATAAAGCATGACGTTATGCTAAAGTTTTTTTTCACTTTCTGATAATTTATAATAAAACTAAATTAATATTACTAGTTTTTAATGAAGTTTAAAAATTGTCTTATGGATATTTACTATATAGGTTTTATACAATTACCGACGAAAAGTTATTACTCTTCAAACCATTAAAAATATCTATCTTTTTTATTATCTCCAAAATTAAATTGATTTTCAAAATAAAAATATGTCAGGGTGTGTCAAGACATCAAAGTGATCCAAAAAATAACTACTAAAGAGTTTTTTGTAAGTATATAATAAACACTGTTATTTTTGGATAACAGTTGAAACTGTTATAGTTATTTATTTATTATCTTGAAAATAACAGCTTATTAATAAAGGTTAAGTTATTTAATAAATAAATTTAACCGAAGTATGTTGCCATATATTAGACCATTTGAGAGTAGTTTCACCCCTTTAGAAACGAGTTTCGAAGATTTTGTCCTCTTGAATAACCTCTCCGCCACTAAAGTCAATCTGTTTTCCAAAAATCAGCTTTTTGACGTCAAGGGCTTTAAGCAGCGGCGATTTACGCAATGACCAGATTTTTCAAATACACCCTGTATACCTTTTTGGGGGCGCCAAAATATTATTTTGAGCTGTTTTCAGAATAAATAACATACCTAAATATTGAAACTGTAAAAACTGCTAAGTACTAAAACATACATTTCCATGAATTTTTACGTCAAACCTCCGTCTCTTATGTCGTAATCAGGTTGAAAACCGTTCTGTATATTTAAACAACTGACTGCCGCCCTGTTATGCTCTCGTAACAGGTTGAAAACAACATATCTAAAATGACTGCTTCTCCAACCCGTTGCTGTGAGCCTCCATCGACAATCGACCGATGCAGCAGCGTTCCTTTCCCCACTCCCTGTTATCTCCACCGCCAGGCGTTATGCATAAATTGTTTCCGAAAAAAAATGATGATAAATAACTTTTATTTTTAAACTATTGTAAAATATGACCATCGACGGTATCTAATGAAGCAGCTAAGTCAACAGGCTTTAATTTATGTCAGTGTCTCGCCGCCTGTATCGATAATGACGAAATAACATGTTTTCTGAGATCCATACTATAATTTTTAGACCCATTGCTTTTTATGGACAATTTCGTGGTGATGCAGTTATTACTCTTCAAACCAGTTAAAAATATGCGGCTGACGCCCTCTACGTAGTCGTTATTTTGACATCTGTTAGTTTTTTAGAACATGTCCAACAGCAGACATTATGTTATTTAAATATTAATTGTTATAAAATAACAGATAGTTAAATATCGAAATAAAAAATGATATACGAACTGTTTTACTTATGTTTATCTACAGAATATGCTGAAGTTTCCGGAATACAGTTTAGTTTAAAGGTTAGTTTTAAAGTGCCCGTTTTTCGTGCCGATGAGTGTAGTTCTATTTCAGATTGTTTTGTATGGTTTGAATTATTTATATATTTTTTAAAGCACGGTAAGGGCTCGCCAATATCCTTGGGGAACAGTCCAAGTGGAGAACGAATCACACCTTGTGACTTCGTCAAATTGCGTGAAATGTTGATCAGAACAAATATGGAAGACATGCGCGAAAAAAACGCATAATAAACACTACGAATTATACAGGTAAAACCTATTTTAACTTTATACCGTTTTTTTATTTAATAGTCTTGAATATTTCTAGGAAAAACGTTTGGAACAGATGGGTTTCTCCGATGTTGATGCCAACAATAAACCAATCAGTTTTCAAGAAACTTTCGAAACCAAACGCTCGAATCATTTGCAAGAGTTGCAGCAAAAAGAGGACGAAATGAGACAGATGTTCGTTGTGAGAGTTAAAGAGAAAGAGGCTGAACTTAAGGAAGCAGAAAAGGAGGTTAGATTTAACAGAACAATAGTTAAATTAAAATATGAAAATCTTTAATACAGAGACAAAATTTGTCTTATTAGTTTTATTTTTAAAAACGGAATTTTTCTAACATTTATTTAGATAATCTCTTTATATTTCGGCCCCAGTAGCAGGCCTATGAGGTTTTGTTTTGCGAAAAAAAAATGTTGAAAATTTTATATTTTTTTTGATTTTTGTTGAAAACTTTTTAGTGCCACTTGTTTATTCACCTGAGGCGTCGAATAACCTGAAAACCCTCTTGAAAAAAACATAATAGCCGGATATCGCCAGCGGTTCTCAAAATGTTGTAATTTTTGTTTTAATTTTCATAGTCGTTTATTTTTTATTTTTGTTTTTATTTTCATTCTCGGTTATTTTCAATTTATTTTAGAAATGGTAAAGAGAAAAGATGTTTCTTGTAACCAGATCTCCCACCCCTTAAAATACCTGCTTTTATTTCTGGGACACCCTGTATAAATACTTACCGGTGAAATTATTCTTTTATTTCTCTTGATTTTCGACTGAAATCTCAATATCAACCAAACCAAACTAAACTATTAACTAACTACTGAACGATTGAAAAAAAAACGGCGTCATTTCCAAAAAAAATATTTTTTTTTCGAATTTTAAATGCAAATTCATGAAAATCTGATGTCTAGGGCTTGACCTGACCAAAATTATCATCAATTGTCATTTCCCAGGTATCTTTGACGCCGTTTTTTTCTCGATCGTTTGGTATTTTAACACGATTAAAAAAATAGAACGTCTCACTTAAGTGAATTTATTTTTGTTTTATCTTAATTTTCAGTTGCACGCAAAATTCGACAAACTGAAAAAAGACCATACGGAGGACAAGAAGAAAATTGAAGATTCGCGAAAGAAATTGGAAGACGAAATTGTGGAGTTTAATCGACGCAAAGTGCAGTACCAGCAGATGGGCTCGAGCAGCCATCACACCCTGACTTTGGGAAAAAGTAAGAAGAAATAATTCTGTGTTCTCATATTAAAACAAACATATCAAGTTCTTGCTCTCTAATCTAATCATAGCTAGGCTTAAAATGGCTTAAAAATAAATAAATTCCTTTGAATTTTAATTTTTTATTTCGTTTTTATTTTTTTGTTGTTTTATTTTTTTATTTTTTTTATTTTATTTTTTTAACAATCTTATTTAGAACGAATCAAGAGAAAGGTGACCTTTGAACAGAGTTTATAACGTTGGATATTTTTTGGATTAATTTGAAGGTAATTATTTTTATAATTACCTGATTTTTATCAGGGATGGGCCATTAAAAAACTTAATGTAAAAATCGTTTTTTGTCCGTAACAAATTGTTTTTAACCTGTTACAAAATTAGTTTCTCGCGTGTAAAAAAAAATAATAAATATATTTATTAGTAATAAATATATTTGTTTTTTATTTAATAAATATTGTAAAAAATATTATTTTTTACGTGTAAAAAATCAGTTTTTTACGTATAAGAAATAGTTTTTACCTGTTTAAACATTTTGTTTTACAAATGTAAAAATATTTTTTATCTGTTAAAAACTAATTTTTTACGTGTAAGAAACATTTTTTTCCTGTTACAAAATTAGTTTCGTAGAAATATCATTTTTTACCTGTAAAAAATAGTTTTTCTACCTGTTAAAAACCGTAATTTTATACCTGTTAAAAGGTAATTTTTTACGTGTAAGAAATTATTTTTACCGGTTTGAAAATTTTGTGTTACAAATGTAAAACTAGTTTTTATCTGTTAAAAACTAATTTTTTACGTATAAGAAACATTTTTTTTCTGTTTAAAATAATTTTTTACTTCTAAAAACCCTATTTCTTACTGTAAAAAATATTTGTTTATACATGTAAAAGATTTGCGAGTTTCTTTGCGAACTAGGTTTTTTATTTTATATGAACACGTAAAAAATTACATCTAAAACCTTAGCAAAAATAATAGTTTTTTACCTGGTATGAAAACTTAAAAAATATGTCCACAGATTAGAAAGCTTCTCTAAAAACGCTGCTAACTGTTAATGACCGTGGTGTAAAAAATATTTTAATTTATTTCTTTATACATACTTGGTCATTTTATTTTTTTTTATTTTGGAATGTATGTTGGGAAAAAAAGGATATATCATTGTTTTTTTAATTTTTTACGTGTATTTTCTACCAAAACGTAAAAAATCGGACCCATCCCTGATAAAAATCCTTCCTGTTTGTTACAAACCTGTCTTTATATATCTGTTTGTCTTGTGTTTGCTTTTCTTACTGTACAAAGCTTCAAGGGTTGGGATATGCAAATTTTTAAAAAGTACTGTAACAGTGTATGGTTTTAAAAAATGGGTTTATTTGTTTTTAAGTCATGACGCATTTGATTGATTAATAAAAACCACATTTAATCTGAGGTAACATAGCACATTTTCTTTTCTAAAAGCACTTTTTTAACCAGAAATATTTTTTGATGTTTTATGTTTGTGGATTTTAAGCTAATATTTCGTAATATTATACTTGCTATATATTTTTCTCTCATATATTTATAGAAAGGTACGAAAATAAATTAAGTATAAAATATATAGGAATTTTTGATATTTTAATCTAAAATGTTTAAAATGTTAGAAATTTAAAAAATTTCATACTACAGAAAGAGGTATTACTAATACTGTAGTTTTTAGACTATTGCTAATATATTTTTTTTTCAAAATATACTGGCAATGGTAGCTAACGTCTTTTTAAAAAACATTTTAGTTAATATACAGTGTGAGCCAAACATTTTTCAAACTAAATTGTATTTTTTTTAATGCATCACTGTATATTTTTTCTGTCCAATACAACACCATATAACAACACAGCTAAATAAAATATTTCAAATCATCTAAAGAATGATTTCCTGAAATATTTTACCTTACTTTTGAAGCACCTTGTATATTAAGTTATAATAATCAGAAGAAAATGCTCTCTTCTAGTGAAGAATCAGGTGAAAAAAACTTACATCAAAATTTGACAGTTCTGACGTTTTTTTTTTGTTTTAATTTAAAATTATAAAAATAATATTAAAATTGGAATATCGAAGTTCAGAAAATAGTCTCAAACTTTTAGAATTTAAAGTTTTATGTAAAATTAACACCGCATGGTCGAAAAAAGGGCGTCCAGTTGGCTTGGAAATGAGCATCAATGACATTCGCCATATAATTTTACATATACATTTTTTCGATTATATTGTATTCATCTATACAGCTATTGACTAAAATATACAAGAAGTGACGACTTTTTTTAACTATTTAATTTGAACTTCACTGCCCTGTTATATTTTATACTTAATCTTCAGTGTGGGTATTTTGAGGTTATAAAATAAACAAATATATAAATATTTTACATTTTATTAATTATCTTTATTCTCAAAGAAACTCTTTGAAGATTTGAACCTTTATAAACATTATTTACTATATTATTATATCTAAATTATTATTAGATAATATCTAAACCATATACATAAACTTTCTGAGTTATTTTCTCAACTATATTAAAAAGTGAAGATTTATTTTTGTGTATATCCTATTCAATCGACTGTGTAGTAGAGCATATATTATAGCAAACATGCTATAATTTAATTATTATTAAATTAAATATATTTCAGAAAATCGTCGTTTTTTTAATTTTCTGCTTTTTTCAAACTGCTGTCTCGCCTGGTCTGACAAGTTTGGCGAATCTCTTGTAATAAGTGAATTTTTTTGACAGGTTTTGCACCCTCTGGTATTTTGGGTGGTGAGGTGTTGGTCTCCTTTTGATCTCTTTCTCGTGTTCCTAAAAATAAAACGGTTTTTTGATCATGATCATGTCCTAACCTAAAAAAAATTGATCATTAAATGCTATGAATATAGAACTGGTTTTCAAATAAGGTTGGCATACATAGTATGCCCTATGCCCAAGATATACAAAGCAGCTGTAAAGAGAAAAATGATAAATGTTGCTATACTGAAAAGTTCATTATCGAAGATCGTATATCAAGATACAGGGCGATCCAAATTGTATTCTGGAAACTTCCGCAGAATATTCTGCAGATAAAAATAAGTAAAAGAGTTTGTATAAATGTATATCTAAAATGCATCGTTTCCGAGATACCTACAGGGTGTAGAAGTTTCATTTTCATTTCGATTTTTTCCACAAATAATTTCAGCACCCTGAATTCGTACAAACTGTTTTATCTATTTTATCTGCAGAATATATTATCGAGGTTTCCCGTTACAATTCAAACCACCCTGTATAATGATTATATCATTTCATTAAATCATAAAGATTTTATCTCCACAGATTTTTTCTTTGAAGACATTAACTATAATTGATTATATCAATTTTTGGCTTTAAAAATTCAATTTGACAACACCGCAGTTGTTTTTTTACAAACTTAGAGCCTCGGATTTTATACCATGTTTTTATTTTAAAATATATTTTTAATAAACAAATTTTATGAAACACCCTGTATTCTCTATTATTTGAAAACCAGTACATCCGAAGAAACTCAGCGTTACGTTGCATGAAATTCCGTACACCTCTGTATAAAGGGCACACTTTAGTGAATCGGAAAATTGAATTATTAAATTTGTTGAATCTTTCTAGGTTTTTGCTGCTCTTTTGGTTACTTCATTCTAAGTTTCTTCCGAAGCTATATTCACCATCATTTTTAAGTTTAGATTTACCTCGTATTTAACAAAATGTTTAGTTTAACGAACAAGATATAATAAATGACATTTAAAGAAGCAAGTTTTATAGAATATTTGATTTTTTTTATTATGGGGCATGTTGAAGATAAAATTGTGTAGGTTTTCTTGGCCGGTATCATGACTAATAACGGTTTTGCGGGTTGTTAGGCCGTGGTCAAGAGTGGTGGGCTCTATAGCTGTCGACTGCATCTGCGGCAGTCTTCATCAGTGGCGTAGAGGTCGAGGGTGAAGTGAGCGACTCGATGACTGAACTGGTACTGATACGGAGGGGAGGGGTTACGCGCCTTTTTAGCATCTTGGCCCAGGCGGTGTGCAGGAGGCGTGGTTTGCTTGTGATCGGTGACGGGACGTTTTATTTCTGTTTTATCATACTTACGTGTACCATATTTTGTTAACGTGAAGCCCTTCTTCTTTTCTGTTGAAGTTGTTCGTATGTTTGTGGATTTCAATCGCTTCACGATGTAGTCTTGCAAAGTAATGATTCCCTGTTGAAAGGACTTCCGTATTATTGAACAGAATTTGATGATCTTCCTGTGTTATTGTGTGTTCGGCCAGGGCTGATTTCTCTGTTTGTCCGAGACGGCAAGATCTTTTGTGCTCAGTCAAACGTATATTAATACTACGTTTCGTAGTACCAACATATACTGAGCCACAAGGACACGGAATTCTATAGACCCCAGCGGATGACAGTGGATCTCGTGGGTCTTTAGCCGAGCGGAGATGTTCTTGTATCTATCGAGTGGGTTTGAGGATCGGTTTTATGTTCCTCTTTCTTAATAATTTTCCAATGCGGTCAGTGACCCCTCTGATGTATGGAAGAAATGCTACCCCACTGGGAGGTGTATTTTCTCCCGCTTGCCTTTCAACAAGTCTCCTAGGTCTTATGGCTCGTTTGATCGTCTGCTCTCGGTATCCATTAGCTTGTAAGGCTCTGTCTAGGTGTTCTAATTCCTCAGTGATGTGTAGAGGCTCACAGATTCGGCGGGCTCTGTCAACAAGTGTTTTTATAACCCCTCTTTTTTGATCGGGGTGGTGATTTTTGCACAAACATAAGAACAACTTCAACAGAAAAGAAGAAGGGCTTCACGTTAACAAAATATGGTACACTCTGCTCGATAAAACAGAAATAAAACGTCCCGTCACCAGCGATCACAAGCAAACCACGCCCCCTGCACACCGGCCTGGCCAAGATGCTAAAAAAGGCGCGTAACCCCTCCCCTCCGTATCAGTACCAGTTCAGTCGTCGTTCACTTCGCCCTCGACATCTACGCCAGTGATGAAGACTGCCGCAGATGCAGTCGAAAGCTATAGAGGCAACCACTCTTGACCACGGCCTAACAGCCCGCAAAACCGTTATTAGTCATGTTGAAGATGTTGCGCATAAAATTTCCCATTTATTGCGGAGTTCTTGACGCACCCTGTATATTCCAAATAGGAAAATAATATTATAGATATAAAGCTTGATTTTCATGCATCCGTTATCCGACGATACGATATTAATTTTATTGGTTGGAAAATTACCCAATTTTTAAATTGATTGCATTTTCATGCCTCCGTTCATCGGATGTACGATTTGCTCGTGATTGGTGTCATTTTATATTTTCATAACGATTTCGCTGTTTTTTACTTGAGCTAGCAACGTTTTCGAGAGGGAATTTTAAGAAAGCTGGTTTTTTAATATACCTTTTGTTATGCTCTCCTGAACAGAGTGCTAACCGTCTGGCTCCTGGTAGACGTTTCGTTCATTACTGCGCATCATATCTGTATTCAACATCTGTTCGCTACTGCGCATCACAAATTCGCCCTGTATTTCAGGAACTAAGGAGCCTAGGACATACCGATATGTAGCATATTTAGTTTCATAAAAAAGTAGCAAAGTAATGTGAAAATCGTATCATTGTATTTCAACACATAAACGAGAAATCCAATAAACCGAAAATATACAGTGTGTACATAAAATATGGAATAAATTCATTTCCTTGAAATGGGATTTTATTTAAAAAAAATTCTCGAACACGTCGATCTATTTTATAAAATGGGCACATTTTAGGCACATTACCTTGCCTCCAGCTTCACGCCCTGAGTGGGGGTGAGTGGCACCCCTAGTTTTTGTAATGGGAACGGGGGGTCAAGTGATACCTTATTTTAAAGGTATCTTTCTCCAGATTGTAACCCTAGAGTTTGAAGTTGCTAGTGTCATCTTTGTTAACATGACAGCTTGTCAAAATTCCTAATTTTCTTAGTTTTGTGAAGCTGCCATATTAACAGAAATTATGGTAGCAACTTCAAACTGTAGGGTTATAATCTCTAGCAAGAGACCTTTGAAATAAGGTATCACTCGACCCCCCTTCCCATTACAAAAACTAGGGGTGCAACTCACCCTCGCTCGGTGGCTAAAGCTAGAGGCAAGGTAATATGGTAATATACCTACTTATATCATAAACAAAGTTTGAAGTTGTTACCGTAATTTCTGTTAATATGGCAGCTTGACAAAACACATAAAATTAGGAATTTTGACAAGCTGTCATGTTAACAAAGATGACACTAGCAACTTCAAACTCTAGGGCTATAATCTGGAGAAAGAGACCTTTAAAATAAGATATCACTCGACCCCCCTTCCCATTACAAAAACTAGGGGTGCCACGTACCCCTGCTCGTGGGGTGAAGCTTGAGGCAAGGTAATATGCGTAAAATGTGCCCTTTTTAAAAAATAGATCGACGTGTTCGAGCATTATTTTTTTACTAAAATCCCAGTTTGAGAAAATGAATTTATTCCATACTTTATGTACACACTATATAAAAAAAATGGGATACCCTGTACAGATGTGATGCGCAGTAATGAACCGTAGTAGTCTACCGGCCCACACTTTGGTCAGGAGAGCATAGCAAAAGATATATTAAAGAACCAGCTTTCTTAAAATTCTGGTTTTCTCGACGTTGCTAGCTCTTGTACTTTGTTATATTTTTATTAAGGTTAGATTAAATTTGTCAAAAAAATGTCAAAACGTCCGTCATCGTACGATCTTTCTCCGTTGACGGGCTGGAGTAAATAAATTACGGATGAAAAGTGGCGCGAAAACGCTATGACCAATCAGAGCACCGTCGGACCAACGTATCAACGTATAAAGTTTGATTTTCATGCATCCGTTGTCCGACGATACGTTGATACGATATTAATTTCATTGGTTGTATTTAAAGGCTTCGATTGGTTAACCGTTTCTAATCAAACCAAACCGAAGTATTCAACCAATAAAATTCGTATATATATTATTTTATTCGTATATATCGTATCATCGTATCGTCGGACAACGGATGCATGAAAGTCAAGCTTAACGGATGCATGAAAGTCAAGCTTTAAGCTTCATTTTCATGCATCCGTTATCCGTTGATACGATACACAGTGCTTCGTCCCATGGACAAAAATCAAAAAATAAGTTAAAATTTACTAATATCTGAATATATAATTTTATACTTATTGCAATGTTCAACCATCCTATATATTATTTTTCATAAACAGCGTTTTTGTTAGCAAATATTTTCACTAAAAATAAATTTTACAATCATTATCTCATCAGTGAAAAGAATAACATTCATAGTAGTTCTGTATATTATGGAGTTAAACGGGTACGTACTTAATTGAAAGCCACTATGGATATTGTTAAACAAGGTATGTACTTTAAATTTATTTCTAAACAAGTTCGTGATTATTTAGTTTTTATCTATTTTTTAAGATGATTCTTAAATGGGTATAAAAATTTTACGTTTTCAAACTTCAAAAAGGCATTTAAAAAAACATATCAAAACATATCGTATTTATTGCATATTTTTGTTGCCATATTCATACACTTTAATTTTTGTATAGTTCACCTGCGTCTGCTTGCGACAGACTTTATTTTATAATACTTTTCAGATGGAGTAAAATTGATAAGCAATGCCGATCTGGCTAATACTTGGCTTGATCATAAGGACAAGAACTCAAAATTATTTGTATTTCAAAAAATATGTTCTTATTAGATATTGATGAACCTTCCAGTCAAAGAGACACCACTTGTGCCTGAAAAAGTCCACTATGTTGGAGCGAAA